TTTCTCCTTTCTTTGATCTTCGAAGTTCATCTCTCTGGACTTGAGACTTCCTATTAATTCGTCCAGCCGTAGAGATGATGTATCTTTAGCCTCCTCAATAGCAGTAACCGTCATGCTGAACCTATCTGGAAGAGTTCTCAATACCTTATTCACTAGTGTCTCGTTGCTCAAAGGACCACCTAAGGATTGAAATTCATTAGCCAAATCAATCAACTTCTCATTGTACTGAGAAATTGTTTCAGTTTCCTCCATTCTCAGTCTCTCAAATTTGGAAGAGAGTAATCTGAGCTTGGTTCTTTTGACACTATCTGATCCCTCACAATGAAGCTGAAGAATTTCCCAAGCATCCTTTGCAGAAGTGCATACAGAGATTAATTTAAACATTGTTAAATCTACTGAATTGAAAATTGCATTTAACGCCTTTGAGTTTTGGTTAGCATTTGATAGATCGTCTGGTGTCCACCGTAATTCTGGAGTTGGAAAAACATCTCCGTCCACATCTGTGATAGTTGGTGGCTTCCATCCAGTGAGAATAGATCTCCATGCTCTCTCATCAATGGCTTTGATATACGCCCTCATCTTGACTTTCCAGTAGGTGTAGTTTGTGCCATCAAGTACAGGAGGTCGCATAGAAGCAGTCATCTGAGTATCCATCACGAATTCGTTTCTGTAAAGAAAATAGGAACAAACACTTAGTATACGTCAAGTGTTGGCTCTTGATGCCAATTGAAAAAATTTATGGTCTCGAATTCGTATTATACAGAGATGTTATCTGAAATGTTATGACACTTGAGACAACATGCAGCGGAAATATAAAGATTAAAAGACACTGTTCAGAATTAAAAATGTTCACAAGTAAAGACTTGTGAACTTGCCCTTTACAGGACGGAAAAATATATTAAAATCAGTATTCCAAGAATACAAACAGAAGAGTACGAAAACTTCTTCCTTATGAATGAATCTTTTTCAAGATCACTCTTACAATCAAATCTAGATACTAAAAGAAAAATATTAAAAATTCTAGATTTCAAATAATGTACTCATAAAGAGTACATACAACAGATCCTAGAAAACACACTAAAATTCTCGAGATTAAAACTTCAGCTCTATTTTTTTTCCTCGAAATCTGCACAAATCTTGAGTCTTGAGTTTGGTATTTATAGACTTGCCAAGCTTCCACTCCTCAGCCCATGATCTGCAAGAAAACCAACCACAAGAGCACTCAAGATAATGGGTTAGTGGGTTAGTTAGGAAGTTAAGATAAATTCCATAATTAAATCCACTAAGCACTACTTAACCCTACTTAACCCACTAACTAAGATTTAGTTTAGAGTTTAAGAAAAGTTAAAAACACATTGTGAAATTAATTCACGTGTTTCAAACTCCCCCTTTTTAACTTTCTGATCAAAACTAAATCGTAGTCAAAGACTCCCCCTGAGATATTGCTTGAACTCCCCCTGAATTTGATACCATTTGAAAAAACATAGAAACAATAAATTAAAACCAAATTCAGCAAGATAGTCCAACAAAAAGAAATAACCAAAGTGCAGTCCTAAACAAAAGTTCAGAGGGAAAATAAACAAAACACAAACAAAAAATATTGTTCATGAAAACAATCTAAAGTAAAATATTCAGAGTCTCCAATGTCTCCTCAGTATCAGCTGCTGCTCCTCCTCCATCACTAGATCCACTGCTTTCTTCTTGAGCTTCCCCCTCTTTCTTTGCTTCCTCTTCATTGACTCCTTGCTCTCTGCCTCGAGCATCCAAAGGATGAGATGTTCCTGCTTCAGTTTCATGATCTTTTTCTCCCCCTTTTTGATCAGAAAGAGCCTTCTGAATCATCTCCACCATGGACTGATGATAGGTAATCTGAGCTAGAGAATGAGTAAGTTGCTGCAATAGAAGATCTCTAGGAACAGACACAAGAAGGTTAGAAGTGTTGTCAACATGAGGTGCAACACCCTCAGTACCAATGTTATTTTGACCTGATTCAGATGAGAGAAAATTATCTCCATTCCAAGGAAGATCTTGAACATGAGGAGCTCTCAGAAAATTTTGAGAAATGTGTTTCTTATTAATTTTGATGTGGTTGAGTTTTTGGTTTAATTTTAGTTTCACCTTTTATACATAGCAGATTAGGCTTGACACTAATCTTTATGTACTTTAAGTATTTTTTTAAATTAGTTTAAGGTACAAATAATTAAAGTGCCTCTAATTGAGGTTATGATATTGATCACATAAAGGTGTGTTAGAAATATATATTGAACTGGAATTCATTTTTCCTTTTTTAATTTGCAAACTGGAAAACAAAAGTGTTATTCAAACACACTCAGTAGATTTGTTAATGGGAAACTTAAAGTTTTCATCCCTCGAGTTTGCACTGATTCTACATTTGGTCCCCCTGTTCAAAAAAAAAATACATTTGGTCCTTCGTGTTTTAATAATTTAAAACTTTGAAGCTAAGGAAACAAGAATGATAAAGAAAAGAATTAATGAACACTCAATAACACATACTTCCAAACTACTCAACCAATATCTAAAACATGAGTGGAAAAGATAAAAGTATAAATATCTTCTTATGGACTATCAATTTCTTGACAATACAAAAAGAGGAATTGATACCATTGAAAACATAAAATAAAATAGAAAATAAAAAATAAAATAATTCTAGACCGAAACCAATTCCTTCCCATACGAAGATCATATAGGCGCGCGAAGTGCCTTGCAGCTAAGACCTATTTGGTCATGGGTTCGTGACACCAGAAGAAGAATTGATGAACCAATAACTATCCTTTTGTTTGTCGCCAAATGGAGAAACTAAGCTTTCAACATAGCAAACGGGCTCAGATGTAGCATCAACCATATAAACTTTGCGTACACACCACACATTCTTACACCACACATGTTTACACCACACATTTGTTCCGTTATGTATTCCGTGTTTCTTCGAAGGCCACATCTTCATTGCATCAAGAAAATTCGAACATGTCCAAATCTTAGTCCAAGATTCCGTCTGACCATACTCGATCATAACCCAAACATTTCGTTGACCCTTAACACTAGAAGTAATTAAACATAGGTATCCTCCCAAATTAATCAAACCCGGTCCAAAAAAAATATTTTCCGGCACGTTTTCCGGCCCAGCCACAATTTCATATTTCTCCTCCACTAAATCAAGAGACATTATAACAAGATAGTTATCATCGTGTCCCATAAGCCAATGCAATCTTCCGTTCACAAGCATGCCCGATTCACACATCGGGAGATAATTAGAGCCCTTGTCGAAATGCTCGATTTTCTTCCAAGAATCGGCCTTCAAACTATAAACCTCCGTCTGAAAGGCTGCCTTCCGAGTGATGAAGAAAATGCAGACGACCTTGTAATCGTCTGCGCACTCGTCGTACCCCAAACCATATACTTTTTTGAAAGCTAAACGCGCGTACCGAATTTTCTTGATCTCTCTAGTACAAAGGTTCCATATATATAAATTGTGATCATTCTCGATGGTGATGAGTACTAGCCCGTTGCATGATCCCACGATAAGAAACTCGTACGTCGAATCTACCATGCAACAATGCTCGCTGTCGAGAGTTGCGAAGATGTCATCGTTGAGTAACGACCGGAGATAACGCGGGTCGAGTGTGGTGTTCGGACCGCGGAATGAAGACATGAATCCGACCATGTCCGGTGATCGACGGAAGCTCGACACTAGCCTTCGATTTGCGCGATCTGTATCGATGTTCGATTTCTTGAGGTGGCGTCTGATGAATTGTTTGCTGGAGATGAATGAACACCATGATTTTGAAACGCACTTGAATCTCAAAAGGGATTTGGATGGCAAGCTGTGTAATATTTCTTCGATTATTTCATCCGGAAGATGGCGCGAGATTCGTCCTTCGATTCGTGTTCCCATTTTTTGTGTTTCTTTTCTTATTTCTTCTTCTTCTTCTTCGCCGCCTTTGAATTTAACCTAGATGACCTAGATTTAGGATAAGCATCGGTAACAAACATTTAATTTTGATTTTATTAAACCGGCCCGGCCCGGCCCCATATAACGCCCCATACCCGGCCCGTCCCTGACCCATAAGAAAATATAATTTTTTATATTAATAAATTATTTAATTAAAATATCTGTAAAGATTAGTATTTTATAATATAAAAAAGGTATAAAATATATAAACGGGATGGATACGGGGATTACCCAGTAAAAATAGTTGGTGTAAATAACCTGGTGTAGCATATAACTTCCCAAGTTGTAGAAAAAGTTCTATATGTTTCTTCTCTTTTTGATTGGAAACGAATCCCAACTCACGGGATTAAGCGTTTACCGTCGAACTTTGCTGGATCGTTCACATAAGTTCACTGACGGTTTACCTCTATTTTTAAGAAATTCATTGCCATTGTTTTTTTTTTTTGAAATAATCGATTTCCAAAAGTTATCTACCAATTTTAAAAAATCCATCCCAAGTTTCACAGGTCCCGTTCTCATATTTTCGAAAGTTAGTTGCCAAATTCCGTCCTATTTAACTTCAAATTTTTAGAAGTTCACTAATAATTTTCATACGTTTACAATCATATTTCTAATTGCTAAACAGAACCATTATTAGGAAATGAATGCAGGATCAAGAGACACTAGTAGAAAAATGGTTTTTTCCTACGATCATTAACCGTAGCAAAATGTATCAAATTCGTACTATGCCAAGGGTAAAAAACTGAAAGTGAAAACAACATTCCCATATCAGTACTTAAAGTTACTCAGGTTGCATAGTATAACATAAAGCTCACCTACCTCATAAACAAAATTCATAAGCAAGAACTGAAATGGCTAAATTAAAAAGAAAAATATGGCAAATTACGGCCACCCCTTGATGTAAGGCCAAATTACGAAAAAAATCACTTATATTTGGATAATTACAGCATTAACCAAACATGAGGAGGAGAGGTATTTTCATAATTCGACCTTACCTCAGGATTCGCCGTAATTAATCTTAGATAATAAATTAGTCCTCCATAGTCTCTGGTTTCTCAATGGGAAAACCAAATTCACCTGTAATGATTCGACCCGATTTCTCAACGGGGAAGAACAGAGTTTCCATATACGGAACCAACCCAAATCCAAAAACCTTTATCTCTTCAAACGCATCAAACGTATTCTTACAAGGGTTGTAGACTACTAATCCATCGTCTTTTGGTTCATTCGTTCGAATCACAATCTCGTTTCCGACCAAACACTGCGGCTCAATCCGCCAAGTTGACTTTGCCACATTCACAACATTCTCAACATTCACCAACTCGTTCCATGAATGATTGTCGATGCCCTTTCCCTTTGTCCAAATCCGAACACTCGTCTCGTTACTCCCTTTATAACAATACATGCCCAAACATCCCATCAATTCAACCACGTGAATCGATTTGGTGTCGTTTAAAATTTCCGGTTTCTCCAAGATCTTGAACTCGTCGTCTCTGGGATCGTAATACACTATCTGTGGCTTGTGCGTCGAAGCCCAATAGCTAACCCCGTCAACACAGACCCCCAATCCGTACTCTACACGGTAATCATTGTACTTAGTTTCGTACCTTTTTTCCAGCATTGTCCAGGAGTTGTTGTTACAAGAATAAACCGAGTAATCGTACGATTTCGCGATAACAACCTTAAAATCATCGGTGATCGGATCATGGCAAATCCCAAAAGCCGCCTCACCGCAGTAAAACGTGGCCTGAAAATATGTGTGTGTTCGAGTCGATGGATTCCACAGCGCGAAATTCTTATTCGAAAGGTCGGAAATTAGTATCAGCCCTTCGCAAAAGCATAAAACCGTTGCCCATAAATAGGGGCCGAAAACTTGTTGTAAAGTTTCGATTTTTTGACCTTTCTCTTCAAATTTAACCAAAGAAAACCCGTATGAATTAACCTCTGAATTCTTGAGTAGAAAAAGATTCTCCGAGCCCTTCGATTGAAGCTGTCGGAGATGATGTTTACGTACGAACACAGGATCTGAAATCAGAATATTCCATGACTTGCATACTGATTTGAATCGGAGAAGAGATTTAACTGATAATTTTAACAGCACAATTTCTATGATCTCGATCGGAAGAGCCATCGTGTTTTTGGAGTTTGGAACCATGGGCTAGGGCTTCATAATTTTAGTGCCTCTACGAGAAAGTCAAAATTATAATTTTGGTCCTCTATGTTTATATATTTAGAGATTTAGTCTTCTAAGTTATCGTATTTCAATTTCACATGCAATAATTTTGCAAATTTAGCATTTCTGGTCTTCTCTTAACTGCTTGAACTCAATTTTACCATATGGCGAACGAATTTTACAGATTTTGCTTATACTGACTTTTAAAAATGATAATCTCATCATCTAATGTTTGTGGAATTAGGTCATTATGAGGTACATTGTAGCAGTGTACTGTTGTGTTGAGGTATTTTGCTTATAATGTTTGTGGAATTAGGTCATTATGATTGTAGTTTGATGATGAAAGAATTGGTATGTGATTTGCTTGTAATGGATATGGTGGATTTTGTTGATGATGATAGTGTTTGTTGAGCATATCCACTCCAGAGATTCAAAAGAAGATGGAATTGCTAAGCCTCGAGTCTGCCTATGATTATGATAATATACTTGGAGAAGATATTAAAGTAGATGAAGAAATTGAAACGAATGTGGAGCAAGAGACTGAAACAAATGTCGAGGACTGCATTGAAAGCAATATGACATATGGTAGTGCTAGTGGGGAGCAGTTATATGGAGAAAACTCTGACCATTCTGATAGGTTGTATGATAGTGAGTATGATGATGACCTATAAATGTCGATGCGGATATTGAATGGGATGGAGATGTTATCTACCAAACGGCAAGTGCAAATGCTCCAACAATTCAAACTCAGAAGAGAGAAGGAAAAAGTGAATGCAATTTTGCATATCCCCTATTGTTCAATCCTAAAGTAGACACGAAAGATCCACAATTTGTGGTTTGGCTATGTTTTGCATCTACTCAAATTTTAAGAGAAGCCGTGAGGAGGCATTCTATGAAGCATGGAAGAGACATAATATTTGATTATTTTCCATGATTTTCCTCGTCTAATAAAATGAAAAGAAGGTTGAAATTCAAACACCCATAAATCGTACAATTGAATATTAAACACAAAGAATGAAACACACAAATAATCTTACCTTTGTTGAAAAGCTTTTGCCTTTGAAGGAAAAACGCAGCCCTAATTTAGAGCTCAATTGTGTAATCGTGGGTTATAAGAATCAGAAGATTTGGGGACATGGGTGCAACATTATGTATATACCCTGAAAGAACAAAAATGCCCTTTAAGTTGACAGAGACGTGAGAAAACTGGTGAAAAATACGCCAGAAAGTTCCATTTGGCGCAAAGTGCAACTATAATGAAATCTTGAAGGGGATAGTCTCATTTTTTGAATTTGTACGGTAGAGAGTGAGAAAACTAGAAATTTCTAGGGGGCGAAGTACATTTTGTCTTACGAATAATGAATATTTTGTTTTATTTATGTTCATTAATTAGGAAATAAAACGTCAATAATGACAGTATAAAATAAAGGGTAAATAGCATGTAAATAGCATTATACCGCCTAAACTTTGCATATTTTTGCAGATTACCACCTTAAAAAAAAAAGAAGAAAAAGAAAAAAAACTCTAATCCCAACTGAACTCGCACGTTACCATTGTTTTCTCTCGCACGTTACCATTGTTTTCTCATTTCCAGACCGGAATTGGACACACGGGCGTTGCACATGGGATTTGGAAGGGTTTTTTCCTTCGTTTCAGATTCAATCCCCCATTTCATGTCATCTATGCAACTAAGCTTTATACTCTCTCTCTCTCTCTCTCTCTCTCTCTCTCTCTCTCTCTCTCTCTCTCTCTGTCACACACACACACACACACACACACACACACGAGAAATTCAAAATTCACTCACGTATTTGTACAGAGTCGTCCTCACCTCCAAAAAGCACATACCACCGTATCATATCAAAAGTACCAGTTCCACCAGTATACACATGTTTTGGTTTAGTAATGGTATGAAATTTTTCATTACCATAAGTACGGTTGGTAGACGCAGGGCCGGTGCCCGGGGGACCTAATACGAACACAATAAATTAGGCCCCTGCATTTTTTTTCGTGTCTGTATACATTCAAAACTCTGACATGTTGTCTTCGGTGATGTGTGCTATGGACTGCTTCCAAAGCACAAAAAAAAGACATACATTAATAAGAAGTAATCCCAACCGAAACATTAACCGATACGAAATTAGACCCTTCAAAAAGAGATACAAATAGAGACTAAATAAGTATCTATCTATTCAAGCAAAACTAAACATCACCCCTAAAAGTTAACACTCTCCGGCCTCGGTTTCTGTTTCTAAATGGGAAAACCAAACGGACCCATTACAACTTGTGACGATTTCTCAACGGGGAAGAACAGACTTTCCATATACGGAACCAACCCAGCTCGCCCGAAAACCTTTACGCCTTCAAATGCATCAAACCTCTTCTTACACGCGTGGTAGACTACCAATCCATCATATTTCGGTTCTTTCGTCCGAATCACAATCTTATCTCCGACCAAACACTGCGGCTCAATCCGCCAAGTTGACTTGCCCACATTCTCAACATTCTCGACATTCACCAACTCCTTCCAAGAATGATTGTCAATGCCCTTTTCCTTTACCCAAATCCGAACACTCTTCTCGTCACTCCCTTTGTAAACATACATGCCCAAAGACCCCATTAACTCAACCAAGTACATCGACGATTTCCCGCCGTCTAAATCTTCGGGTTTCTCCAAAATCTTGAACTTGTCGTCTCTCGGATCGTAATACACTATCTGTGGAGGGTGCGTCGACGCCCAATAGCTAGCCCCGTCAACGCACACTCCGGCCTCTTTACTGTTCGCTAGACGATAACCGATGCGTTTGTTTTCGTAATTTTGTTCCACCATCACCCAAGAATAAACAGAGTAGCAGTACCAACCGACAACAACAACCTTAAAATCGGCGGTGATTGGATCGCGACAAAGCCCATAAGACGCCTGATGGAGGTACGACTTAGGGTTAAGCAATGTCTGTGTTCGAGTTGATGGATTCCACAACGCGAAATTATCTTTTGAAATGTCGGAAATGAGTATCAGCCCTTCGCAGAAGCATAAGACAGTTGCCCACAGATAAGGGCCGAACACTTGTTGTAAAGTTTCGATTTTTCGACCTTTTTTTTCCAATTTAACCAATGAAAACCCGTATGAATTAACCTCTGAATTCTTGAGTAGAAAAAGATTCTCTGAATCCTTAGATTGAAGCTGTCGGAGATGATGTTTACGGACGAACACAGGATCTGAAATCAGAATATTCCATGACTTGCAAACTGATTTGAATCGGAGAAGAGGTTTAACTGATAATTTTAACAGGACAATTTCTATGATCTCGATCGGAAGAGCCATGGTGTTATCGGAGTTTGTAGCGGCGGCGGCGTGGTTTTGGAGTTTATTGTTTGTGTAGAATGCGTCTGATAGGGGGAATGACCTAGAAATTTAACCTAGATAGTAAAGGGTGAATTACCGTTTTCGTCCTTAGGTTTCATTTGATTTCATTTTTGGCCCCTGTTGTTTTAAGTGTACAAGTTAGGAATAATTACAGTTTTCGTCCCTATACTTTACTACTAACATGATTTTAATCCAACTTTTGCACCTATGAAATTAGTCCCCAAACTCACATTTTTTTGACACTTTTGGTTCGGTCGTTAAGTTTCCAAGTTAAGTTGGACGAAATTGTCTGGTGCGTTGCACGTGATATTCATTTGGCAATCAAGGTCTAGCTGGAACACACCCACATTAAACCTCACACTCTTTCCTAATTTATCTAACCCAAATTCTTAATTTTTCTTTTACTCTCTCTATCCCGCAGACCCTAGCAAACCTATATTCCCAATTTTTTCAATCTTTGACGCCAATGTCAAACGTCATGCAGATGACCCCTTGTACTTTCATTTTTCCTTTCATTTTTGCAGGACTCTTGAAGTTTGACACATACGGTTAATTTTAACGGAAAAAGTAACGGAAATTACATACATAAACTACAAATGGTTTTATGTGCAGATATTACGAGCACATGAGGGTCATCTGCAAAAGCTTGTAACCACATGATATTAATTGCTATTTACCCTAAATTTAATCATTGGACTTCAACTCTAATTTAATCACCGACGAATTCTATGTTACGCACCTCGACTCTACCCAATCCCATTTTACCCCTTCGCGCTCTAAATTATATTATTACTACTATATCCTACATGTACTCAGTTCGATTGTGTCAGTAGCATGTTTTCGTTAGTTTTTCAGGTGTAATATGTGTGGCACGGATACGAAAACGGTAATACAGGAAACAGGAAAAGGGTATGTCCAAAAAATTCAGGAACTTGGGGGAAACGTGTAAATATCATAAGTATAGGGGTATATCTATAAAAATGATAATAAACATATGTAAGTTTTTATTTATGGTATATAAATATATTCAAAATAAATTTTATAATAAACTATTAATTTGTAATTGTTTATTAAATCATGTAAATAATTAGGGAGGCAACAAAAGTATTTGAACACATGTTATTCAAACATGTTTTCAAGTTTTTAGAAATTTGTAAATTGAAGAAATGAATTTGCTTATAGTGGGAAGTAGAAAATGAGTTTGAACAAACTAGTAATTAAGACCAGGTCCAAATGTATACAAATGTATTCAGATTTGTCAGTATAGTGATCAACATGGTCTCAATTTGTTATTCTCTTCAAATTTTCTTTCTGCTAAAACAAAACCGAAAACCAGAAACCAAACCTTATTTCTACTTCTCAAGGTTTAAAAAATTGTTGTAAAATTAAAATTAGAGTTTTACTGATAGTTGTAAATATTATTCTACTGTAATATCAATATTAAAAACTTATTTGACATAATTCTATTCTTTCACATTTTGATTATAATTTGTGAGCAGACAGCGACGATCCGGCGAACCATGCTCAACTCCCTCATAAACAATAACTGAAATGGATAAATTAAAAAAAATAAACAAGTATTAAAATATGTTAAGCCGAATTTAGATCCTACAAAAAGATATGCATATAGAGACTAAATTATGTATCTATTCAAGCAAAATAAACATCAACCCTTAATCAATACTCTATTGTATACATTTTCGCTTCCTCTTCCTCTCAGGTATCGATTTCTCAATGGGAAAACCAAATTCACCAGTTACGATTCGACCCGATTTCTCAACGGGGAAGAACAGAGTATCCATATGCGGAACAAACCCAAGCCACCCGAAAACCATCTTCGTGTCTTTAAACTCTTGAAACCTCTTCTTACAAGGGCTGTAGACTACCAATCTACCGCTATGATTTGTTTCTTTTATCCGAATCACAATCTTGTTTCCGAGCAAATATTTCGGCTCAAACCACCGAAGTGGCTCCTCCATATTCTCAATAGTCATCAACTCGCTCCAAGTATGATTCTCAATCCCCTTTCCCTTTCTCCAAATCACGACCGTCTTGTCGCGACCTTCGTAATAAAGGCACAGAAACCCACTCAAATCAACCAAGTAAATCGATTTGCCGAATTCTGATCTCTTGTAATCCATGTTTTCGGGCATGTGCAAAATCTTGAACTTGTCGTCTCTGGGATCATAATACACTATCTGTGGGTTGCACTTCGAAGCCCAATAGCTAGTCCCGTCAACACAGACCCCCAATTCGTACTCTACACTGTAATCATTGTACTTAGTTTCATACTTTTTTTCCAGCATTGTCCAGGAGTTGTTGTTACAGGAATAAACCGAGTAATCGTAAGATTTCGCGATAACAACCTTAAAATCATCGGTGATCGGATCATGGCAAATCCCAAAAGCCGCGTCACTGCAGTAAAACGTGGCCTTAAAAATTGTGTGTGTTCGAGTGGATGGATTCCACAATGCGAAATTATCTTTCGAAAGGTCGCATATGAGTATCAGCCCTTCGCAAAAGCATAAGACAGTCGCCCACAAATAAGGGCCGAACACTTGTTGTAAAGTTTGGATTCTTCGACCTTTCTCCAATTTAACCAATGAAAACCCTTGTGAATTGACCTTCGAATTCTTAACTAGAAAAAGATTCTCCGACTTCTTCGAACCCTTAGATCGAAGCTGTCGGTCGTGATGTTTACGAACGAACACAGGATCTGAAATCAGAATATTCCATGACTTGCAAACTGTTTTGAATCGAAGAAGAGTTTTAACTGATAATTTTGACAGGACAATTTCTATGATCTCGATTGGAAGAGCCATAGTTTTTTTAGAGTTTATAGGGGCGGCAGAGTTTTGGTGTTGTGTGCATATATATATATATATATATATATATATATATATATATATATATATATATATATATATATGGGCTCTTTGAGAAAACCCCTTCACTACTTTTTTTTAATTGAGGGAGGCCCAAAATATTTTAGTCCATTTGAGAAAAGTCCACACCAATTTCCAGCCATTATGTTTTCCAGCTTTACCCCCGCCCGCCACCTCATCCGCGATTTATTTATTCTTTTCCGTTTTTTTAATCGACTATGAAGCATAGTCGATTAGTCTTAAGTCGACTATGCTTCATAATCGATTAAGGAAAATCTTTAATTTTTTAATTTTTTTTTTTGTTTCTAATTTTGTCTTTAATTTTTTTTTTTGGTTTTTTTAATTTTTTTTCTCTATCAGGTTTATTATTGCATAGTCGATTAAAATTTTAGCTATTAAAAATAATAAATCACAATTACAAAAAAAATGCAAAATCAATTATATTTAAAAAAAAATACAAACATTGTAATTGATTTATACATTGGAATCAATAAACAAAAAATCAAAAAAAAAAAAAATTGAACAACTAGAGTCGGTTAACCTTAATCGACTACTGAACATAGTCGATTAAGCCCTAATCGACTATTGAACATAGTCGATTAAACCACGTAGTCGATTAAGGGCCCTGCCTGCGCGGATTTTTTTTTTCTGCGCCGTCTTCCTCCAAAATCCACCAAAAACCCTAGATCTGTTCTTCATCGTCACCACGTCGTCGCCACACCACAGCATCACCATCCCACATCTATATTCTACCTGTTTTTTACGAAGTTCTCGTCGGCGAACTTGGCTCCATAGATCGACTCGCCTCCGGTGCCGTTTCCGGCGGTGAAGTCGCCTCCCTGGCACATGAAGTTGGGGATCACGTGGTGGAAGCATGAGCCCTTGTAGTGGAGTGGCTTGCCAGATCTGCCGACTCCTTTCTCTCCGGTGCAGAGTGCGCGGAAAATCTCGGCGGTCTTCGGAACGACGTCGGCGTAGAGCTCCATCACGATCCGGCCGGCAGGTTGGCGGCGGCGGCGGCGACGGTGATGAGAAAATTTGTCGGAGAAAGAAAAAAAAAACAAAGAAGACGGCAGAAGAGAAGCAGAAGACGAGAAGATGAGAAGACGAGAAAAAAAAAAAAAAGAACGGCAATGGGTTAGGGGTAATAAGGGTGGTTTGGGAATTATTAAATAATATTTGGATAGGATATTAGGTAAGGGGGTTTTCTCTAATTATTTTTGGGAGGGAGGGTTTTCTTAACTCATTTACCTAGATGAGGGGGGTCTTGCTAATTATCTCATATATATATATATATATATATATATATTACATATATATAAGTGTCGTACTCTTCTATTTTACTCTCCCAGATTTTCTTTTTCTTTTTTTTTCTGCCATTTCTCATGAGAAACGGCGCCGTTTAGTTTCCATCTACCAATAAGATGCAGCCATTAATTTCTTTTCCATTTAATTTCGACATGCACGATTGCGATCGACCATTCTGGTGGGCCCCTATGGCTTTTTTTTCCTTTTTTTTTTTTTGCTCTCCTTTCTTATCTCAAGCAATATGCCTGGGTCCCACACACCTACCCTTTTTTCTGCGTACTCCAGTGGAGAGAACATCTCATCTCTCTCCGACGCCGGCGCCGCCGTGGCTCTCAAAAGCTCTTACACCACCGCCCCGTTGAACGCCAAACAGAAGTGGCGCTCGAGAAGGTCTCGCCACTTCTGGCGTCGACGGCCATCGACGGCCATCGACGCTGCCTCTTCTACCGCCTACACTGACCCCATCCCGGGATCAGATGCGGCCGATGTCAAGGACTCAAGGTTTCTGATGCTTTAAACAATTTCTTTTATGGATTTAATTTTTTCTTTGCTTCAAATTTCAATTTGGTTTTTACCAATCTAGAATTTCTCATCCTCCTGAGGAAGCAAAAAATGGCCCTTCATTTTGCAGGCATCAAATATGGTTTAATGGGTATAATTGTGAAATTGAAACACATAAATGCCGCCTGCAGCTTCTGTATTTTTTTTTTTATTTATTTATTTTTTTTTTTTTTTTTTTTTGGTAATGCAGGAACCCGCAGCCAACCATATAGGTGCACTGGGTAAACCTACACTCTCGTATAATAGCTTGCAAACCATACGAGAGATGTAAACCACACTAGGCTAACCATGTGTGACAAGCTCGACCTAGCGACCGTTGGCAAGGGGATTCGAACTTGGGTCAATTGACCCAAGCTCTCTTGCTCCAACCGCTAGGCCACCCTTGCAGCTTCTGTATTATTGTATCTATCAATGTTTGTATCAGTAAGAGGGGAAAAAACAGAGACGGCATTAAAGAAAGAGCCTTTTTTTTTAATTACCTGTAGTGTAATTGTTCTAAAAATGAGATTGTTGGGAACTAAATTTGGGCTTCAACAATAATTTCAATTGTGGATTTTGTTTTGCAGAATGTTACAAATGACTAGGTTCAAATATTTTATTTTTGAGTTAGATATTTCTATTTTCTAATAAGAGTGGTACGACTGGACAGTGTCTCTCCAATTTCTGCCGTTATTTTTTTTTTTTTTTTTTTTTTTTTTTTACATTTTGGTATGGTCTGGCTACATCGATTGGTCTGAGGTATACCAAAAAAACCTTTTGCTGCCACTGTATTAAGTTTCTTTATATTCTGCAATGTGCATTTTGAGCTTTCATTTTACAGATCCATCGTCGAAGCAAATGACCATTTATGCAGCAAGAATTTATTGTGAATCACAAGTTATTTCGCAGGAAGTCGGGCGCGTAGCTTCCGCTGCACCGCATGCTCATTGACTCAAGCCGCGACATTGCTTATTCACTCGTTAGGGTTGATCTACGTCTTCTATTACTATTATGGACTAGGGGTGGGAAACGAGCCGAGCCGACTCGTGAGCTCGACGAGCCGGCTCGTAAAAAGCTCAAACTCGGACTCGAGGTTTTCGAGCTCGAGCTCGAGCTTTCTGGCGAGCCGAGCTCGAGCCGGATTTTAGTTGTTCATCAGCTCGCGAGCCGGCTCGCGAGCCGGATTAATTATTATTTTTTTATTTTTTTATTTGTTTTTTATTTTTTTATATGTTATTTTTATTTAAATAATGTATAATAATATAAAATATTATAGAAATAAATGCAAACATTAAAAAAATATATATCTCAATTTATTTTTTATTTTGTATTTTTTTAAAATAATTTTTAATATTAAAATAATAATTAAAATAATAATTAAAAAATATTTAGAAAAAACAAAAAAAAAAAGAAATTGGCTCGAGCTCGAGCTCGACAAATTAACACGAGCTCGAGCTCGAGCCAAAAAAAGAAGAACTCGATGAGCTCGAGCTCGACAAAATAGACTCGAGCTCGAGCTCGAGCCAGCCAAAAGAGGCGAGCTCGGCTCGTTCACACCCCTATTATGGACATCGTTGTCATTTTTTTTTGCTTTACTTGACATCATTGTTTTTTTTTAAATTGATTTAGTGTTTCAAAAAATGGTTTTCAAAAATTGATTGTGTGTTTCGGAAAATGGTTTTTCAAAAATTGATTTTGTGTTTCGAAAGGATGCTTAAAGAGACCTGGAATGCTTTCCATGCATTTGCTTTGGATAGTGTAATCCAATAATGATGCCTGATGTTTCATGTATTCAGGATAATTTTTTTCAAGATACACGAACAATTTCATCAATTAAAAGGATCATGTTTCTGCCTCAAATTTTGGTTTATATTCCCAACTTTGTTCTTCCTCAAATTCGGGTTTGGCATGCATTGCACATAGATTTGGATTGATTATCTGAAAAATTCGCTAGGTTATGAATTATGTAAATGCTGAAATATTGTTTCTGATTTTTAGGAGTTAGAGATGCAGAAATTAATTGCATTCCAAGCACGATCAGAGGAGATAATCTAGAGGCAGCTTACCTCTCATGCATCTTACCTCTCATGCATCTATTAAAATGGGCATCAGCACCGCGCCTTGCGCTGTGCAGCCAATCCTAGTATATATATATATACACGATTGAGTATGTGTTAAAGATCCTTGCAAGAAAGAGAAGTTGTATGTAAAGGATGTTAGTTTACGTTTTTTAACGTTTTAATTTTTGGTCCACTAATCTTTATTTTAATTAATTAAATTGTGGGTAATTCAAATCATGGTATTAAGGTGATTTTATGGTAATTGATTTGTAACGTTGAAGGCAATAAAAGACCATGATGGGTGGGATTTGTCTTCTGCCGTTACAAATCAATCGTGGCCCTCTTCTCTCGTCTATAAAAGAAATCCACAGCTCTTCTCCTCAACCATCAGACGCAATTGAGAATTCCATCACTTACAGAATACTAGTGAGTTGTGATATTAGAGAGATAGAGAGAGAAGGTGTGTTACGAATAAAGTTCTCAAGGAGATTCGAAGGAGGTCTGGCTAGGCTCGGCTTGTAGATTGCTATCGTTCATCGTCTCTGTCGGAATCCATGGCGAACGGTATGTCGATAATCTCTATTATGTGCTTATGTTCTTAAGATGAATTCGATTTCAAGATTCTGTGATTAAGGTTTTCCGCATAAAGTTAAATAAAAGTCTTTCAATTGGTATCAGAGCATGGTTTTGAAATCAATTCATCTTAGAACTTAAAATTTGTTATATGTTCATCTTACGGCCGTATGGTTTCGTGGATTTAAATTTTGAGATAAAATAATTGTTTTGTTGTCTGATTATATATTAGTTAATAACACGATCTTGATTGATATACATGTTTTGATAACGATAAATTTTGTGTAGTTATTTGTACCCTTCGATATTTGTAATCTGTTTTGACGAATTGGATTATTCTTTGTGGTACTCTCCTGCAAAATCACAACTTCCAACGAATTGATGTTTTGATGAACGTGTCAGAGACTTTTCTCTGAATAACTTGACTAATGTATATTTTTTATTTAATATTTATTATTATATAATGCATATATTGTATGAATTGTCTATGGACATTATCTGCA